TCCCTGTTCTAATATTCTATGAATTGAGAATTTTGAATTTCATAATTTGTAATGTATATAGATATCAAATATAATTATTTTATTTATGCCTTTGAAATCATTGTTTTAGTTTATAACAAGGGATATGTTGGTTTTCTTCATGTGGATATTGTTATCAAAATCATTGCTTATGTTGAGTTTTAGGATGTGCTTCAGTCTTTTGTGGTGAAAACATGATAAATCTGTGTTTAATATTGCAAGTTACCTTTAAAGAGGAAGGTATTTCATATATTCATTTCTTGACCAATGTGTGTGCAATTATCAGAGGGAAATAACTTAGTTGTAGTATTACATTTTCACTTATTAAACCTATATGTTTCTTAATCAATGTTCTTACCACTTCTTACGTAAATAGATTTTAGGCCCACTATTACCTTATTTAATGTTTTGATTTCCAATGCCTCATCTTAAATAACAATGTATTAAAAACTGAATGATAAACTTGACCATCATTATTCAATAACCAACAATGGTTTTTGAGCTACCCAAGCAATAATGACAGCCTAACAAAAACTTTTAGATTTTCAATGTAAACAGAAGACGAAGAATCAGAGAAACCATTATAAAAATGTCATTCCTCTTCTTAGCATCACACAAGCAGCATCGTTGAAGAGGAAAAATCAAAATGAGTTACAATGATGTTGTCCAGGTCTAACAAACTTCAGATGTTCAACAACCTGTATTGGTCCAACAAGTTCACCAGGTTCAAGAGGCTGTAGAGGTCCAACAAGTTCACCAGGTCCAAAAGGCTGTAGAGGTCCAACAAGTTGTCCAGGCCGAAAAAGCTGTTTAGACCCAACAGGCGGTCACATTGCAAATAAGATGAACCAGGAAGAGAATAAGGAGATCAAGAAGAATGATAAGGAGGACAACTATGTTCGATTCAGATGATGATGACATATCACCATATGGTTAGAGTAAATTTATGTCAGCTAGCGCATTTAGATTTGATAATTAAAACTTCAAAGTGTCTTTGTTGTCTTCAGTATTCAAGAGTTTTAGTTGTCTTAAATATGAAACTTTCACTTTGAATGATAAAGACTTCATATTTTTGAATAATAATTTCGTTGATTTAATGATTTTAATTTCTGCTTTAGATCTAATGGTAGTTCATAGTTTTTATAGTTCTACTGAAATCACTAGATTATGCTATTTATTATTTGATTACCATGGACATCTCTCCTGTTATTCGACAAGTACATTTATCAGGTACATTTATCTTCACCATGTTTTCATTTCTCAATGTTATAGCAGTAAACTGGTTGTAATTTACTTTTTCCAAATTCTATTTTTTCTTTTTGAATGGTTGGACTGTAGTTAAATATGTCTTACATAATACCTTAAAATTTTGCATATTTTTTTGATGGGTTATTTTGAGCTCTGTGTTGACCATTGGTTTTTTCGTTCACTTGATCTGTTCTTTGCAGCTTAGATGTCATCCCCATGCGACATAGAGCTGATTGGACACCAGCTGTCATAGAAGACATAGAGATAAATTAGTAGAAGACTCTTATGGTGCAAGAATGCATACAATGTTAGGGCCATCAAATGGCGTCACTATTGGAAAAGGAAGCTTCTTGATAGTCGTCAGATGCTCCCGCAACTGGTGAACCTACCCAAAAGTAAAAGTCCCGGCCTTCAATAAGTAGATAGTAATAGTATAAATTATTCAATGCATGTATATATAAGTTTGAACAAGTTGCTCTTGATTGTGTTTGTTTTAAAATGATATTTTACTTATTTAAAGATTTTGTTGATATAGAGAACTTGGTATTGGAATCGTACCCTATAGTCCTCTTGGTTGTAGTTTTTTGGGTGGCAAAGGCGTTGTGGAAAATATGACAGCAGCTAGAAACCTGGTATTGCATTTTAACACTTAAATTTAATGTGGTTTTCTATTGTTTGTTGTGGAATTATTAATACATAGTGCAAAATCTTATTCATGGGATATCATTCTTATATGTTTTTCTCACATGGATGATATTTTAAATTCTCCTTTAAAAATAAGGATCTTTCTTTTGTTATCCTCTCTTCCAAGCCGAGAACTTGGAGAAGAACAAAAATATTTATGATAGGGATACAACTAGGCAACGTAAATAACTTTTCATCTAATGTATAAATATTGTATTATATGGTCTTTTGGATTGTATCTAATTGTTTGTTCTCTGACAGACATGCAGTTATGTTAAGATTATGGCTCCAGTCTTCTCACGAGAAGCATGGCATTGTGCGTGGCACATGATTTAGTTTCATATTTTTTGCAGGGTAAAAGAGAATCCGGAAAAGCACCATGGCAGAGGTATGTTTTACATGTTTCATTTGATATGTTACAAGTTGATATATCTTATCAATTTTAATCATAAAATTCATTTAATGTATCCATGTTGTTGATATATTACTGTTTTATTTTGTCTCATCTTTTATAGCTATACACTCTTTCATATGGATTGGAATTTCAATTCCACAAGAGTTGGTCAGTAACCTTTGAATGATCTATCGTCATAATCATCACTCAGGACACAAAACCATCACATGTGTGCAAAGAGTATTTGACTGGTCTTTGACACCATCAACTTGCCGTGTTCGATTTTGTAATAATTTATGTAATTGTTACCAATTCACTCATATAATTATGTATAACAATTAAGAAACAACAAGTGTACATATAGTGTCTAAGTCTCCTTATAGTTAATGATTCATATTCAATTTTATGATTTCATTTTTCTGTTAAACGTATTGCAAAACAATTTATTACCTGCTTAATTATATGTTCATAATGATGAAACAAATGGAAATGACGTGATTATCTTACAATTTCATATAGTAACAACTTATAATATATCATTAAATACGTATGTTAAAGCTTTATAATAAATAATAATAACAATAAAAAATAACTCACATTACCCCAACGTTCCAAAGTTAAAGTTTTAAAATAGAGTTATTTTAAAATAGTTGTGCTGTAGCTGATGCAACATAAATTTTAATAAGTATATATATTTTGGTAGCTGATTGTAGCTGATGCAACATATAATTCAAAAACGAGAAAAATAAGGGTGCTATTCAAAATATTTTTTTTAACAATTCTCAAAAAGTAGTGCATATTTTTATGATTCAAATTTAAAAATATATATATATATATATATATATATATATATATATATATATATATATATATATATATATATATATATATATATATATATATATATATATATATATATATATATATTAAATATACTCTATATTTATTATATATAATACGATAAGCAAGAGTAATCTTGTCATTACACAACTATTTAACTTTGATTCAAATTATTTTATATATGTAAAAAAATAGTATTTTTATAACCGGCACTAACTATAATCTTGATTCAAATTATTTCATATACGAAAAAAATTACTATTCTTATAAACGAACATACCTTTACTTTTGATTCAAATGTTTTGATATAAAAAAAAAATACTATTGTTATAAGAGATTAATTGTTATGCACTATTTGTATAAAAATCATTACATTGTCAGTGCATATCAATTAAATTCTTGTTATAAGCGGGCACAATTTTAATTTTGATACAAATTTTGTTATATACGAAAAAAATACTATTGTTATAAACGGCCACAACTTTAATTTTGATTCAAATATAAGATAAAATACTACTGTTATAAATGGGAACAACTATAATTTTGATTCAAATATTTTTATATACGAAAAAAATAATATTGTTATAAACGGACACAACTTTAATTTTGATTCAAATTTTTTTATATACAAAAAAGTTACTATTGTTATATACGGCCACAACATTAATTTTATTTCAATTTTTTTATATACGAAAAAAATACTATTGTTATAAACATAACACCTTTACTTTTTAATAGTTTTTTAATCATATTATTATTGACATTTTTGTTTACCTTTCATCATCTATATATATATATTGTCATTTCAACTTAATTTTACTATTATTCTTAAGTTTTAATCATATTAATATTCTTAAATTTACTATTATTCTTTAGTTTCATTTGTTTTTGTCTAGCTTTTTTGTTTAGTATTTTCAATCATCATTGTATTATTTAATTTTATATCAATAATTAATTTAATTCGTTCTTTTACAACACACAATTTTTTTTTATACTTATCAATATAAATTTTTAATTTCAATCATATTTATTTTTATAAATTTATCATTTTTTTAAATTTAATTAACAATTACGCATTTATAAGATAAAATTCTCGAGCAGATAGACCCGTGCGAACGCACAAGTTAGTTACTAGTTTTTATATATAAGTTTTTAACGATTTTTAATAATTAAAATGTAAGAAGATGATACTTTAAATCTTAACTGAATATTTTTCAAAAAAAAAAGAATTTTGTTTGTGGTTCGCTTAATTTCTTTGGAACCACGTGTGATATTTGAAAACCTTACCAGTCCATGAAGTGACGAAATTCGAAGCAAATACATGACCATAAAATACAAAATATGTATTCGTGTTAAAAAAATTCACATTCAAAGCATTCTAAAAAGGTATGCTTGTACAGCATCCAAAATTCAAAGCAGAAAACGACAATTTTTCGATAAAGAAATATCTTAACAAGACCGTAGCCTGCATCAACCGCAACCTTGTTTCATAAACCGCATGTTTTTCAATGCTAGTTAATTTACAATTATGTTTGTTTATTAACTTAAGGAAAGTGCGTTTATCACAGCGATTTCTTTGACCAACATAACCCTTTTCACAACACAATCTTCTCTCACACCTTTATTGACATAGTCAAATACCAAATACTACATGCTAACGTAACCACAGTAATACTAGATTTTACTATATACACAAAACCCTCTTTCCCACGTTTCAACACAGCATATATATATATATATATATATACACTCACAAACACATAAAGGTATATAGTTTTGTTTTGTGAGTGTGATTCAATTGAGCAACTGAATCATTATGGAGAAAGAGAAACAGAGTAAGCTGAAGAACAAGTTCTTGAAAGCAATAACAGTAACGTTTCAGAACGCACCTTTCAGTCCTGGAAGGGAGCATAAATTTAGGTCAGACAATAACACAAACAGATGGGGTGCAAAAACGAACGGTGGAAAAGGATTCTCTGGACCTATGGTTACTATGATTCCTTACGAAGCTAGAAGAAAACCTAAAGATGGGGGTGTTAATGTAACACAAGAACCAACTTCACCGAAGATTTCTTGTATGGGACAGATCAAGCATCACAAGAAGAAACATATTCCGAAAAACAAAACTACTGATGCAAATACTCCAAAGGATGCAGATTTGAAGAAATCGAAATCATCGAGGTTTCAGAGAATATTTTCACAGAGATCCAAATCGAAGTTTGTGGAAAGGAAATTCGACGAGTCTGGATCTGTTGGTGGAGGGAGCAAAGCGCCGCCGATGGGTGATATGAAGAGATTCGCGAGTGGGCGTGAAGCTTTTTCGAGTTTCAATTGGAAAGCTGTGATTGAGCCTGAGGAAATCGATGGGAGGGATTGTTTTACTGATGCGGAAGATGATGAGATCTTGATTCCGTTTTCTGCACCAATTTTGGTTGGTGGAGGTGGTGATGACGGTGATGATTCTAGACCTAGTTTGAAGTTTAAACCAAGGAATGAAATTAATCTTTGGAAGAGAAGAACAATGGCACCACCAAGGCCTCTTCAGTTGAATCCTGTGCTTAAGGCTAAGTAAATTGTTAATTCTTTCATAATCAATTACTTGTTCAAATTGTATATTTCTTCATCTTTTTATATACTATAGTTTTTTTGTTTATCATTTTGATGCTCATATAATAGAATTTCTTCTTCTTAGCTTTTTGATTAAATGTTCGTATAGAAATCTTAGCTTTTTTTATTAAACTCAGATTCTACCCAGATAGATGATTTGTGGATGAGTCAAATCATGATATATGATGTCCAAGCCAAATAAAAAATATTGAAATGAATTAGATAAGTAAAATAATGAATTTTTATGTTTTAAAACCTTGAACTTTATCGTCGACTGAATTATGAGTAATTAATAATTATATACGGTAGTGTGTTGGTGTAGCCAATAGCCATTTATCAAAATTATTTATTTTTGAAAAAGTGTCGTGTTGATGAGAAATGGAGCATAGTAGTAATGATATAATTGATGAACGCATGTGAACGCAATAACGAGAAATAGTAATGGTTGGTGGTGAGGCTGCTTCTTATCATTTTCTTAAACACGTCTCTCCCATTGTATTTTCTATTAATCAATTTCCTTCTTGTTTCCATTTACGCAATTCAATTTTTTTTAAGTCATCCGCATAACACTAATGCATTTCAACAGTAAAAACTTGGTGAACTTTACACTACTTCTTCAATTTGATTGACTATGTATTTATACATATAATTATTTATCGTCATTTTTCAGATATATTTTTTTAAACAAAGTTTGATTGAGTGTTTCCCGGTTGTTAGAATATTTTATTGAATGTTTAAATTAATCATTAATTTATTTGTTTTTTATTAACAAGAGTGTTTTTACAAAACAAAACAACTAACTAGTAGGGTAGACATAAGTTCGGGCCGGTTCGGATTCGGGGCCAAAACCCCAATCCGGCCAAACTCTCTAGTGATATATATTAATTCAATTCCAACTAATTCAACTATCGGTTTTTTTGGATTCAGATTTTTTCGGGTTCGGTTAACTAGAACGGTTTTTTTTTCGGTTTTAGCTAATTATTGGGCCAATCCAATTTTAAACCCACTTAAAAATTGTGATTTTTTTTTTACATTTTTCAATTCAATTAATTAGAAACTTCGTCTGTTATTTGTTTTTGTGCAGCTTAGTATTATTCTAACTCATAGTTTGGCAGTTTTATAACACAAACTAAGATACTGCATATACTGCAGATTACACCACCAAATCACATATTCCTGCCACCACCAAGCTTGTCCAATTCCTCGCTACTTCTTGTAGACATCCCTAAAGCAGAATCAAAGTGATCCTGGCTAAGGAAAACAGGTTGCTGGTATGACGACATGCTTGACTCAAGTATCTGATGTGGAAGCATCATGTATGGATTTAAATACTCTCCTTCCACACTTACTCGTTGCTTTTTAGTTGATCTCTCGCCGTTAGGACTGTCAGAAGGAGAACCGACTTGGCAACCGGAAAGAACCCCACTGAGTCGCTGTTGCTCTTCGATTATCTTTTTCAAATATTTCCCTTGAGCTTCTATCCTTAACTGTAGCTGTCTCTGCACCTGTTTTGCAATGAACAAAAAATCAGTTACAAGCGTGACATAATATATAGTTGACAGATCGGTTCGACAATGGGGTATACCTCTAATTGTTCATGTAGACGCTTCTGCACCTCCATTTTGCATTCCCCTGAAAACATTCAACATTAGTTATTTATTTATACCACCAAGAACTCATCAAAACATTCAAGAACCTTTGATTAGACACTCCAAATTAAATGTCTCATATATTTGATCTGAAAATATCGAGCATAACAGCAACCAAGCCAGAGACCAGACACTCCAAATTAAATGTCTCATATATTCGATCTGAAAACATCGAGCATAACAACAACCAAGCCAGAGATCAGACACTCCAAAATATATATATCTACAAACCCAAACCAATGTAATTAAAAAACCGAATAGTAAACCATAAATTAAACATTTTAAACTCAGCTATTATTACTCAAATTGAACTAGAGAGCACCGGTTTACTCTGCATAAGAAAACTCTCTAGTTCAATTTGAGTAATAATAACTGAGTCTAAAATGTTTAATTTGAGTAACGTCGAGACATTGCCATGGATAAAATCTGCCATAGAGAAAACTTGGATAATAACAACATCGCAGGACCGACGCCGCTAAGTCAAATAGCAAATTACAGCACAGATAAGCAAAGACAATCTTAAATGAAAAAAAGAAAAATCCAAAATCAGAATGTTACTAACGTCGGACAATCCATGTGTTGCAGAGCCTAAACCAAAACGCGGAACATAAACCAAAACATAAGAACCAGGCGTTTACAATTCTAAACAAGGTTTACAATTTAACAGCAGCATATTGAAATTTATATCAAAACCATGACAATTCTAAACAAGGTTTACAATTCTAACAGCAGCCAAAATGCGATACACCCAAAATTTTCACTCGAACCGAAAAACAACAGAATATTGACAATTCTAAACAAGGTTTACAATTTAACAGCAGCATATTGAAATTTATATCAAAACCATGACACTCGCATTCGCACACAAAATCGTAATAGCAGACGTGATGCAATACGACAAAACAAGCTCATATAAGCGTGATGCTACTATCGATATTGACCATGTTCCATACTTGGGAGAAACCCTCACGTTGGCAACAAATACTTGCAAAAATAGTGAATATACTCATGTGATTCTTCCAACACTTTCATCAATGGTCAATCATACAAACTTAAACCAGTACCTAATAGATTAATCGGTAGTCTTACAAGAGCTAGCATCTAATAAGATACATACAAGAAAACTCAAACTTCAAATCCTATACGCAAACACATCGATACGAAATTACATGAGCCAAACCAGGACTGAAACAAAACAAACAGTATGCTTAATCCAGCCAATGTGCAATAACATCAAAATCCAAATAAAACGAGACCAAGCAGCAAAAAAATTGTAAGATAAAGCCTGTTTCGAATGTTACCGTTGGTGACGTCGTACCGAACTTGCTGCTTCCCATCGTCCACATTTGTGCAGAGTAACTCCCCTATATTTGGAGCTTCCCCTCGAGAAACCAGTGCTCTGTCTACGCAGAATATGCACAAACTCTTCCTTGGTAAAGTTACTCATCTGAAAAACAATAAAATCAAATTTCATGCTGCAATTATAACTAACATTCAAGTTCTAAATAAGATCAATATTCAACACAACACAACAACAACAAATGCTCATAAACCTGCTTTATATTCCCCAGCAGCTACATATCCCAAGCAGAGTCGCCAGCTGTCACTACTGCGAAAAAAGGTGCCGGAAAAGACAGAAGAGTCGCCACCTATCGTTATTTATCCCAAAGAAGGGAAAGGAAACGATCAGGAGAAACCTAGCGAAAAGGGATAAGATCAGTTATCGCAACCAAATCTCGGGTTCGGGAGTCAGTTACGCAAGGGAAAGGTATTAGCATCCCCACGTCCGTTGTACTCAACGGGATCCACACTTGTTTGTTTATCTAAAGGGTTGTTTATCTATCTAGCTAATGGTCTGGGTTAAAAGAAAGAAAAAGGACTCGACATAGCATCACAACTCTGGGCCTACGTATTCCCTCGTGCAATAGGAAAGTTAGAGTCAACGTAGTTCGACTAACTACGGGTGATGGGGGAAGGTTGCTCGCCAAGACACCGTGTCTTGTGCCTACGTACTCTCAACAGGCATGAGAGTCAGAGCGAGCGAAATTCGGGATAAAACGGAACACAGGTTTGTTCGTGGATTTTATCCGAGTAAGTTTAAACTACAGTTCCAGCAGTTAGGGACAACGCCTGTTTGCGGTAGAACCGAAGCTTAACAACACTCTTTTCATCTAAAAAGGTTTTCTAAATTAAAGGACCCCACATGGCAAAAGAGGTTTGAATGTTGTTTTTTAAGTCTTTTATGAGAAGAAGTGTTTTTGATGAATGTTTGTAATTCATACTGCACTAGAGACTATGACTTAGGAACGAATGCGTCGCATATCGCCCTAAGGGCGTATACTAAACACTCTAGGTAATTGAGGAGAAGTCCCCCAATCACGATTTCCTAAGTAGCTTAAAGCTCGTAACGTATAATACTCATTAACCTTTATTAAGTGTATTACTGTGGTTTGAAGATGAGAAGAGAGAAAAAGACTCTACAGGGGGAATAATCAAAATCCTAATGTTGTCATGCAAAATGGTCCTAAGGTTGAGTTTAGAAGGGAATCTATCCTACTTGTTATCATGCAAAGGGTTAGAACCTAGTGTCTATCATCACTATCCTTAAACAAGGAAGTGAGAGCCCTAAGGGAACATGTCAGAGGGAAACAAAAGAAAGCTATCAAGCAGATGAAGTAGGAATGTAAATAGATGCACATGCAATGCAACAATACAAGCAAAGGAGGACACATCAACCTTTAATGCAAACATGAGATGCAAAGGGAAAAGAAACAACCAAGCAAAGGGAGGAAACCTCAACCTTTAAATGCAAGTAAGAGATGCACAGAGATAGCACACAAGCAAAGGGAGACTAGCTCAACCTTTAAATGCTAACATGGAAGTGAAAAGAGAAAGCTATCAAGCCTACCTACTTCTAATGCACAACACCACACAATCATGCAAGGGAATGAGAGAAAGCATAGTGTGAACCAAAGGAACCCACCATGTCATGGAATTTGTATCAACACAAGAGTCCATCAAAGGCTCAAACTTCTCATGGAATGCACAGAGTTCTTCCTAAGGAAGAATCAGGCTTTCATAAGGAGGATCCTGAGATTGTAGGACACAGAGAAAAGGGAAAGTGTGTACAAGGTACTTGAGTCCTCAAAGGCTCAACTTCTCATGGAATGCACAGAGTTCTTCCTAAGGAAAAACCAGGCTCTCATAAGGAGGATCCTGAGATTATAGGACTTGGAAGAGAAAAGGAGCACAATGTGAACCTAAGGAACCCACCATGTCATTGAATGTTCATCAAAGGCTCAAACTTCTCATGGAATGCACAGAGTTCTTCCTAAGGAGGAACTAGACTCTCACAAGAAGGATCCTAAGATTATAGGACTTGAGAAATGAAGATAATAATGATGGGAGACATAATGAAAACCTAAGGAATTCACCATGTGCTCAACCAAACTCATCATTCAAGAATAGTCGTCAATGGTTCGACTTCTCATGGAATGCACAGAGTCCTTCCTAAGGAAGAACTAGGCTCTCACAAGAACGATCCAAATATCATAGGACCATGAATTAGAAGAATCATGTGAAGAAAGAAAATCATTCAAAGGCACCTTATGGAAAGACTAAAGGGAAGCTCTAAAGGAAGCCTATGTTATGAACTAGTAAGGAACAAGGTTTTGACTTTGAAATGCACCCACAAGTTCCTTAAGATGTTTAGGGTATGGATATGGGAAAGTTGGATGCTCACACAATGCAAAAGGATCACACCAAGTGCAAACTAGGTCAAAGGTATGGTGGGAATCACACTAATAAATGTCACAAAGTAAAATCTAATAAAAATAGAAAAACACATCTAAAAAATCTAGGAAAATTTCTAGGGTACCCTTATAGTGTTAGGAACCAAGGGTTAAAATTTGGGAGCAAAACTCTAAGCCTAGGAATGTTAATGGAAGGCAAAATCATGAGGTGCTCTATGGACAAGGCAAAGGAAAAGGGTCCTAAAGAACTAAACAAAAACCTATCCAAATTGCATATAAAAAATAAGAGAAAATACTACAATATCAATTAAAGTCTCAAGATTAAGCACAAAAAAAATCAGAAGTTTATTTAATGTTTTGCTAAGGCAATAAAATTCTAGAAGTGAACATACAATTCTTTTTATTCATTAAAAGCATATCAAATGAAAAATACACAATTAATTGAAAAAGAATTAAAAATGAAATTAAAAAAAATATGCAAAATTAAAGAAAATGTCAGATTACCTAGATGAATTTTTTATTGATTTATTTAACATTTTTTATGAATTAAAATGAAACAGCAAAATAAAATGAAAACAAAGGAAAAGAAATGAAAAAGAATAAAATTGTGGTGCAGTTAGCAAGTGATATGTGTGCAAATCATTGGGCTTGCTGAGAGGTGTGTGCGATTAGCAGTAAAGCCCAATCCAACAATGGGAAGTCAACTAAACCAAAGATTCAATCATGGCCACACATTCGCCAGACTAGTCTAAGATCCCATGGTCGAGAGTGTGACACACATGCATCAGGATTTTAACATAAAATGAGAACAAACCACAACCTCACGATCTAAAGACTAGTCCATCATCTGATGGCTATGGTGCACGCGTATGAAACGCACCGTTTCACTAAAGTATGGTCAACAAGATCTAAGCCACACAATACAACTTGAGTCAAACTATCCTAGGGTTAATGCACTGCCACGTGATCATCAGAAATTCAACATATAATGAAATCAAAACGAGGCCGTTAGATTAAATCACAGTCAATGGTCAAGCACAAATCTAAGGGACCTAATCTCGCCACATATCATCATCAACATTTGAACGTGAGAAAAGGGGGAAAAGTCCAGACGGCGGCCGGAGGGACTTCCGGTCGTCTTCTCCGGCCACGATGAACAGTGGCACACACGAAAACTCAACCAAACTTCACGATTCTTGCACCAAACGATTCCTCTCACT